AGTGTTCCACACAGTCAGGGTAAAAATGTTCGGCCTGAACTGTGTTACAGTATGGGTCTTACTTTTGCCCATGGAGTAATTTTATGGATCAGCGAGCGGTGCTCAAGTGGTTGTAGTATTCGGAGTGCACTCTAAGATCTAAAGGACTATGTGTTAACTTTGACTATGTGCTTTGAGTACAAAAGTTCAGTTCCTCTATGAACACAAAGTGATCTGTCTACACCTTTTGACAGTGTGCCTCACCCTATATCTACCAGTGTCTTGTCCATCTTAATGGCAAAGCCAACAATGTTACAGCACTATTGGATTCTTTCACTTCAGGGTGCCAATTACACCAAGCCTTATCTTCATCCTCCTCCTATGCCGTCTCTATTATGTTGACTCAAACATAATCTGCGTCTGTCTTAATCAGCTAACACTTGTAACTGATGGAGCTGCTCTTAAAATGAGCTTGTTTCATCACTAATAGCACTTATCACTCACCTCTCTTCTCTCTCTCTCTCTCTTTCTGTCTGTCTGTGGCTCTGATGACGTGCATTGGCATAGATGCTGTGCTGTTTTCCTGATGGTTCTCAAGAGGCCTGATTGTAAGTGTCTTTGATTGGCTGTTTATACTCTGACCCTCCCCTTTCTCTGATAGGACCTTTCTCATACATCATGCATGATCTTATCATTGAGCCATTTTGCATATCTGTCAAAGGTGCAAGTTTTCTGCCTTAACAGCCAGTGAGTGGATTGAGAATATATACTGGTCTTAAACATTGCATGATCATATTATGCTATTTAAAGGAAAATACTTGATATATAATTCAAAAATAATTCAATTTCTCTAAACCCTCCTTCCCGAGAGCCTTCTCTACTCTGATTTGTCAGACAGCCCAGTCTGTTGTAATCAGAAGAAGCACATTTGAATTTCAGCTCTGGAAGCTTCCTCAAAATTTGTTTATGCAGTGATGCAAACAGTAACGAGAGTGTTGGTTTTACTGAATTATTTCGAGCTCGAGTCCACATCTTTTGGAAAACAGCGCCTTCCCAACATGTCAACAACATGAACCAAACTCACCCAGGCCTTAACAACTACAGATCAAAGTAGACAGCCAATGAAGACCTCATCATGCATAGTTGTTACATATATGGCATTATGGTAACAAGGCATGATGGATCCATGTTCTCATTCTGTTCACTCCAAATTCTGACTCAACCATCTGAATGTCTTAACAGAAATCGATACTCATCAGACCAGGCAACATTTTTCTAGTCTTCAACTGTCCGATTTTGGTGAGCTCTTGCAAATTGTAGTCTCTTTTTTCTATTTGTAGTGGAGATGAACCCGGTGGGGTCTTCTGCTGTTGTAGCCCATCCACTTCAAGGTTGTGCCTGTTGTGGCTTCAAAAATGTTTTGCTGCATACTTCGTTTGTAACGAGTGGTTATTTCAGTCAAAGTTGCTCTTCCATCAGCTTGAATCAGTCGGCCCATTCTCCTCTGACCTCTAACATCAACGAGGCATTTTCACCCACAAGACTGTCGCATGCTGGATGTTTTTCCCTTTTCACACCATTCTTTGTAAACCCTAGAAATGGTTGTGCGTGAAAATCCCAGTAACTGAGCAGATTGTGAAATACTCAGACCGGCCCGCCTGGCACCAACAACCATATCACACTCAAAATTGCTTAAATCACCTTTCTTTCCCATTCTGACATTCAGTTTGGAGTTCAGGAGATTGTTTTGACCAGGACCACACCCTTAAATTCATTGAAGCAACTGCCATGTGATTGGTTGATTAGATTAATGAGAAATTGAACAGGTGTTAATAATACTTTAGGTGAGTTTGTGTATATATATATACAACCCCTTGAAAAATAAACTGTGTTGGAACTGACGCAAAAGCAAAATCAAGTTCAATTCCTCATCCTCACTGATCCCACTGTGTCTGTCTACCTTTTTGCCCAAATAACATTTTTGAGTGAAATGTTTTCCCTGTGTGCATGTGATTGTCTCATTTCATACTCCTTCAGCCTTCCTTCCATCTTTCCTTAAATAAACAGGCCATGTTTCTGTCAACCTATCAGCTTTGGCTTGCTCGCTCTCTCTTTCTTTCTCTCTCTGTGAGATTGATTCTGTGCTCCTGTCCCTTTAATGTCATTTAAGTGTTTCTGTGGGCGCTTTTTCCCTCTGCCAAAAGCCCGCCTCAGAACCTGATGAGGTATCAACAATAATATAAAAAAGAAAGGAGCAATTTCCTGCAGTAACCATAGCGAACGCTTTGCTGCATGATGCGGATGCTTGCTTTACCCCTATGGGGGTTGCAGTCTCCATTCTAATGATTAAAACAGGAACATGAGCCTGCAAGGCTTTTTACAATATTACACATGCAAGTTCAAAGTGTGGCCAACACTGTGGCAAATCCCTTAGTCTAATAGCACATGCATATTAAAATGTAAAAAAAAAAAAATCTAATTCAAAGTTTGGGTAAGGTGAAGAGCCCAAAAAAGGAAGAAAAAAAAATGCTCATAAATCACTTTTTACTGAGTGCCAAAAGCCTGTTCCCCGTGCAGTGCGTTTTTGGTACTGTAGGTGCTAATTAACTGAGGAATGTATAGCGCTGTTAGATCCAGCACAAAGTGAAATCAGCAGCCCTTTTGCCCTGTGGCTAACACAGTTCAAACACTAGAAACTGTTTCATGAAAACAGGAAATAAAAGGCAAGGGTTGGAGATTAGAGGCAAGATGGAGGGAGAAGGAGAGAAACATGATGGAGTGAATGAGGAAGTTAAACGAGGAGGGGCAGACTGTATGTGCAAACAGAAAAAAATAGCTTGCTAAAAGGTTGACCAAGCCGGAGGAAAAGAGGGAGTAGAGTAAATTGAAAAAGAAATGGTCCATAAAGGTGAAGAGATGAGGCTTGTAAAGATTTAGCAGAGAGGCCTGAAGATTTCACTCCAGCTAACAGGCCTGAGGTAGGAGGGGGTTTCAATGTGTTTTGTGTTTCTTTGTGCTGTGCTTTCACTGTGTAGGTTGTGTGGCCCAATTCATGCATTAGAATGTTTATTAATTTGTTGATGCTTGTACAGCTTATGAAAACCCCAAATTTAAAATTAGAATATTGTGAAAAAGGTTTTCATATAGCTCTAAGCCATAATCATCAAAATTATAGCAAATAAAGGCTTGAAATATCTCACTATACATGTAAGTTGAATTATTGAAATACATTTTTTTAAGTTTCATATGTATACATCTAAAATCCACATGATGTTGTTTCATGATGACTGGTGAATATTTAAAACAAGATTTGCTTTTCAGATTTATCATTATTAGTGGTGTCTGCTAAGGCTGCAAACACTGCTAATAATGGAACGTATCTGTAAAACTAATCTTTTTCCTGAATTTGAATAGGAAGGAAACAATAAGCATTTAGATTATCAGCCCTAATGTCTAAACCATCTGAGGCAGACTGACCATATGAGGTTATGAAACAAAGGTTTTTGCTCCTGTATAAGCTAAAAGTTTGTGTGAAATCATCTTATGGATGATCCATGATCCGCGTTCTTGTGGACAAAAAAAAACAAAAAAAAACACAATCCTAAACGTAGCAGCAACGTCTGCTGATTGGTCCAACTCACTGTTACCATAAATGTTTACATTACTGGCAAACTGTTAGAGCTATAATATATTATCAAACAATTTGCTGACTTTCTATCAGAGTTAGTGCTGGTTGTAGATAAAGTCCGAATTGTTGGTGATTTTAATATGTAGATAATAATTTGTTACATTTATATAATTTGTTACATTTATATAGCGCTTTTCTGGACACTCAAAGCGCTTCACATAGGGGGGGGGGGATCTCCTCAACCACCACCAGTGTGCAGCATCCACCTGGATGATGCGACGGCAGCCATATTGCGGCAGAACGCTCACCACACACCAGCTTACTGGTGGAGAGGAGACAGTGATGAAGCCAATTGGTATAGATGGGATGATTAGGAGGTCATGATGGACAGAGGCTACTGGGCAAATTTGGCCAGGATGCCGGGGTTACACCCCTACTCTTTCGAAAGACATCCTGGGATTTTTTATGACCATTGAGAGTCAGGACCTCGGTTTAACGTCTCATCCGAAGGACGGTGCTCTTTTGGCAGCATAGTGTCCCCGTCACTTTACTGGGGCGTTAGGACTTCTGCCTCTAAAGATTGCTTTATCAATATAGTCTTCCTGATCAGTTTTATCATCTTAGCATCCTGGCTTAGAAGAACTCGATATTGCGACATAAACTCTCTTTTCTAGCACTTTAGACACAGTTGCTCCATTGTGCTTAAAGAAGATTAAAGAAAATAACATTAGTCCAATGTCGTGGACCAAATCTCTCCACAAATCCTTCCGCAACTTGCCTGAAGTCACATATGACGGTGTGGTTTGGATGGTAAATAAAAACTCTCAAGTGGAAATGTCAAACCTGAGCAAAGGGTATATGTTGTTATAGCTATAGTCACTTGGTCCAGTGGTATCTATTGGACTCCACAATTGTAAAAAGCTAACCGTAAGAGACGTATCCCTCCTGAAAGAAGTACTTCCAGGCTTATTTATTTATTTATTTATTTATTTATTTTTTTGTGACATAGGCGTATATGATGATTTGTTCCTCAAAAACATTTTTGAAAACAGTTCTGCTACTTAATACTGTTATGCAAACCATGATGCATTTTCTTTAATGAATAAAAAGTTCAAAAGAACAGCATTTTTTTGAAAATGAAATCATTATAACTGTGTTTTATTTGTCTCTTTTGATCAATTTAATGTGTTTTTGTTGAGTTAACATTCATTAAAAAATATGTATATATTAGCAACTCCAACATTTTTGACAGTACTGTACTGTACATAGCATATTGGTAGCTATTTTCCCACAGGTAAGCACCTTCTTCAGAAAATGAAAAAAGGTTATTTTTGTTTATTATTGCATTTATGTGTCTGCTGAAAAACATTAGCCTTAACATATTCTTCCTCACATGGTTCGAGCGCATCAGTATCATGGTGATCCTGCTGAACTGCGTCACTCTGGGAATGTACCAGCCCTGCGAGAACATCGACTGCACCTCAGAGCGCTGTCAGGTTCTACAGGTCAGTATGAACACATATAGTCCTGTACACAAACTAGCTCTTTTTCAAAACCTTGTGGGCAACCTACTAAGGCAGTATTCTAAATGCCATGGAACAAAATAGCCAGTCATTCTTTTTTCTTTTCTTTTGGTTGCCTTTTGTTGGGGAGGGGGGCTTTCATTGCACAGCTTAAACATGTACACACTCCATTAAATAATTAGCTCACCTACAAACTGTTATTGTTTACTCAATCATATAATTCCACCTGTATAATTTAAAAAGAAAAAAAGAAAATATTTTGAAAAATGTAATATGGCCGCTATTTTCAGTTGTACAATGAATGAAGACTGGGGCTTTCAAGCATTACTAAAAGTATTTTAAAAGGGATGGGATGATGCACAATAGGATGATGCACTGAATTTATAATCATCTGAAGGCATTTATGAGAGAAGCAACATCAGATTCATTAACTATTTAGGGCTGCGCGATTCTTGCTAAAATGTGAATCACGTGGAATATGAGTTGAGATCACGATAATCTCACACACTATTCTCATTTTTTTCAACCAAAACATTTATTGCACTCAAGTAAACACCTGTGTCTACACTGGTTTTTCAGTTATAATAAAGTGCTGGACTTAAAAGTAACAAAAATAGTCTCCTCTTCCTAACTTATACTGTATTTTGTGGTGACGTTTAAGGTGGTTGCAGAGATTGGTGGTGTTACCTTGCGGTGCTGCGACAATGTTAAAGCACTGCTTATTATGAGTCCTTGTGCATCGTCAGCAGGTTTAAACTGAGTGCGTTGGATCTGCTCGTGCGTGAGGTTAAAGGGTTCACCCAAAAATGAAAATTAAGTCATTAATTACTCACCCCCATGCTGTACCAACCCTGTAAGACCTTCGTTCATCTTCGGAACACAAATGAAGATATTTTTGATTAAATTTGAGAGCTGTCTCACTACCACATTGGCTGCCTAAGGGACTGGCTCTTGACGGCCCATGTGACTACAGTGGCTCAACTATAAGTTTATCAAGCAACGAGAATACTTTCAAAAATGAAACGAGACTTCCTGAAACGAGACTTCCTTAGATTTCCACGACGCATGCGCAAGAACTGAACTGAAGTAGTTGAAGGAGATCGCAATTCTCGCGCATGCGTCGTGGAAATCTAAGGAAGTCTCGTTTCAGGCCAACAAGGAAGAAAAGGAATAGTCGAATAAAGTCGTTATTTTTGTTTGTTTTTTCGCACAAAAAGTATTCTCGTCGCTTGATAAACTTATAGTTGAGCCACGGTAGTCACATGGGATATTTAAACATTTTCTTCATTGACTTTCTGGGCCGTCAAGAGCCAGTCCCTTAGGCAGCCAATGTGGTAGTTATACAGCTCTCAAATTTAATCAAAAATATCTTCATTTGTGTTCCGAAGACGAACGAAGGTCTTACGGGGATGGTACAGCATGGGGGTGAGTAATTAATGACTTAATTTTTAATTTTTGGGTGAACTAACCCTTTAAAGTGCGCATCTACACAATATTAATCTTAAAGTCCCCGTGAACCGGAAGTTGCAAACGATTTTTCTCCAGTGCTGTGACGTATTTCCAAGTGAAACGGAATATTGAACAGAGGGCAGGGTTTTACTCTAGCGCTCCTCCTCCCCATCTCTCGCTCATAGCAAACTAACGGTTTGAGGGGAGTGGTTAAGCGTTTCCCCACCCAAACTGTGAAACCTACGTCATCAGAAAAAGAAACCGTTCCAGACCGGAAGTAACTTTTCAGATTTTGATTAAAGATTACTAAGGTAAAACATTTTTTTAATATATATTCACTTGCACGGATTAATTGTTCACCACAAGACTAGTAATATGCGCTAACGAAGTAAATGGGTTCAATTTTGATTTCACGGGGACTTTAATGTTGTAATCCTTTTTTTGTTAATATATCTGGCTAGATTGAATACTGCTGCGTCCCTATGCGTGTAATAAGCTAGATAGGCACAAATGGGCACAAAATGCATTTGCTATGTAAACAACGTAGTGCAGGACGTGAAAATGATAACTACGTTGGACTGAAACTAGCAAAAGACACTTGCGTCGCTCCTGGTGTTGAGTATCTGATAGGGACCTAAGTCTTCTTTCTTGTTACTTGTCACGTGACGTGAGTGACATTGGACGCCGTAAATGAGGAAGAGAGAGGTGATCAGGAGTCATTCGCCAATCTTTGGCCCGATTGGAGAATTAATAGTGTTTTGTTGTACACTGTGTGAGTGTGACCAAGAAGTTTGACTGATATAGCATCTTGGATTGTTGTAAAGTAAATAAGTGAACACATGAAAGCAGCGTAATCTGAATACAGGGAAAGTCATGCAAGTGAATCGTAAGATCGCATTTATGTATGGATGGAGATCATAATTTTTTGTTTAATTAATCATGCAGCCCTAACTAATCCATTTGAGTCAGTTGTTTTTAATTAATTTGTATGACCCATTTTGTGTTCAACTCAGGGACTCGATGATTAGATTAGAATCACTCATATTGGTTTTGAGCAATATGAAAGTGAGTAAATAACTTTTATATTCAGATATCAGACAATATTTTCTTACCAATCTATGCAAAATAAACACTCCCTTTATCTCATAGATAAAACAGGGCTCGCAACACATCAATATGAGATGCATTTATTTGCTCCTGTTCTTGAAGGGATCATTGGGGATGGTTGTAGGTTGTTGATTTTGACTTCTGTCTACACTACACCCTCTGTATGTGCAACACCCTCAGACATTTTGCATCAGTATTCATAAGCCTTGTGTTTACAATTATAAATGGCACAGAACAATTTGATTTGATGCAAAAGCTTACCGCATATTTCACCCAAAAATTTTAATTCTGTCATTATGTCTGCTTATTCATGTCATTCCAAACCTGAATGAATGACTTTCTTCTGTAAAATATATTTTAATGTTTTGGCCATACAATGGAAGTCATTGGGATCCAAACAGATAAACAGCGAGACATTTTTCAAAAACGGTCATCTTTTCTGCTGAAAAACGTAAGTAATTTTCTTTTTTGGGTGAACTATCCCCTATAAGTTTTACAAGGATGAAACAAAGCGCTGTCATCTTATAGGCCTCCAGTCTGAAAGAAGAAAAGTTATTGAGATCTTCTCCTAATTACTAGGCTTTCCACCAGTTTGAATGAGTTTTATTGCACTTCTCAATAACTTCTTGCAGTGAATTGCCCAATTAAGAGATAATGCTGACTGATAATCTCTGGCTTACCTGTGAAAGTTGCATACGTTAAGGCAGGTCAGAGCCATCAGACAGCAGCTTTACCTTCTCACAGGTGCAGCTGAAATAGAGCGAGAGAGCCATGACTCAATGTTTTATCAGCCTGACAGTACTCCCTCAGTGAGCTCTTGCTGTTTAAAGCTGTACCTTTCTTGTGTAAAAACAGTTTTGAAGAGAGATATGCAAATGAAGGTCTGCAATGCGATATTTCTCACATTAGCTTTTTGGATTGACTGCAAAACAATAAGACAGGGTTGAAATGAAAACTGTGTGGGCAGGAACGAGAGTCTGTCTCTCTCCTGCTTGCTGTGTGTGTACGGACTCGTATAGAGAGCCATATGTCATGTATGGCGTGTGGAAGAAGGTAGCTTTAGAGGAAGCATCCTCTTGGCGCCAGGATGTTTGCGTCCTCTGGTCCCACAGGGGATCTTAAACCAGTGCTGTTTTGTGCTCGGATGCATCGGTTGGTTTCAAACTCTCCGTTTCTCGTTCGGGCTGCCATCCAAATTGGCATCGCTGTACAATAGCCTCCTCCCTGTATCACACATACACACTGTAGTGTGAAACAAAACCTGTATCAGCTCTACTTGGCAAGTGGACATGCAAAGTGACTAAGAGCACAACGAAACAGACGTTCTTTTTTCTGCACACGTGTGCAAGAAAACTACACTTCGCACATCTTTATAATTGTCCCTGCAGAGTCGAATTTAAAAACTAAATGAGTGACCAATGTTAGAAGAAAAAAAAGCCATTGATGAGGGTGATTGTGGCCTGACTGGTCTGTTTAATCAGTCATTGAAATCCCATCTATCTGTGGTAGATAATCTATCTGTCGTAATGAGAACGCAGCGGGGCTTTGACAGCGACAATCACGTCGTAGTGTTTGTAAGGAGCTAATTAACAGCCCTATTAAAGTCTTTGTACTCGCGACTCAATTGTTTATGAAAGAAGCGCTTTCTGTCAAGTCAATCATCTGCTGTGATCGTCAGTCATCTCAGTGTCGGATGGGGAATTAGATCTGGGGTGGGTCATCCAGGGTCAGGTGAAGTCAGGCTGAACAGTCTGGGTGTTGACTGGACTTCTTAATCAATTATTCATTTACACAAGGGATCTTGAGGGACCTTTCGTTTCAGGCTCATTCAGCTTTTGACTTCTCTCAGGATCTCATTAGCTCACATTGGCAGTCAGACATTGTTTTAGAAAAACTTTGCTGTGCAACACATAGCTAAGTATTTCGGTCACTATGTTTTTCCTAGAGCAAAATTTGCATTTTCATTCTGTCTGTCTGTTTTTCTTTTGTCCAGGTGTGTCCAACGCATTCTCATCCTTTAACGTCATATAGAGCGCTATATGACAAAACGGCGCTATACTACGCTGAAGGCACCCGTTATCGTTAATATAACACGTGCTGTGAGGGCTAAGTTTAGGTGTGGGGTAGGGTGTACGTGTCATATTCACGCTAAAGGATTTCTAACGTCTTGGGTTCGCGTGTTATATTAACGATAACGGGTGCCATGTGCGTAGTATAGCGCCGTTTTGTCATATAGCGCTCTATATGACGTTAAAGGATGAGAACGGGCTGGTGTGTCTTATGTAACATAATTTCACATAGCTAAAGTCAGACCATTCGGTATTTGTCTTGAAATGTTGCAATCTAATTTAAATGCAAAACAACTTCTCATTGGATTGTGATTAAAATGCAGCGGTTGTCTCTAGTGCTCGACTAAAGATTTTCTAGCCAACTATTAGTTGTTTTATTAAGCGACCGCTTTGGTGGGAGGTCCACACTTCCTTTGGTTCTGACATCATCAAAGACCTCTCTCCATGGTTGCTGCAGTTGCTGCAGGACAGCCCGCACGCAAGCCGCCTTGCCTATGTCTGAATGTTGCTGCAACGCGTTTTGCATTTATACATTTTTTTTTTTTACATTTTTGGCTTCAATATCTCATGGAAAAGACTTTTTCCCCTAGTGTAAGATATAACGAAGTACTCGTTCCCTCTTCTAGAGAGAACCAAGGTTAAGTTAGTAACCGAGTACGTTTTACATCATCAATCAATTGTCAATTGTAATTACCAATTTCTTTCCAGTTGCCTTTGCAATTCTAATAACTCATTTAATGCTGGATCTGTTTTACACACACACACACACACAACGTTTTTTTGTCATATTTGCAAATTTATTTAATTTTTTAATTGAAATAGTTTAAATAAAATTACTATGATTTTAATTATTTTAATAATTTAAATAAAAATGGGTGGTATTTGGGAAACACATTCTCATTCTGGAGAGCATCTAATTGGACAAATGTATGCAGTGATTGTCAACTTTTGGGAATACACTAAGGGGACTCAAAGCTACAATACTCTAGATTTTGATTTCACTGGACCTTTCAAAACATACACTACATGTGTTATACAAGTGTCTTTGTTGATCTCTCTCTGTCTTTTAGGCATTTGATGCATTTATCTACATTTTCTTTGCACTGGAGATGGTGGTGAAGATGGTGGCTCTAGGGATCTTTGGCCGTCGCTGTTATCTTGGCGATACTTGGAACAGACTGGACTTTTTTATCGTCATGGCAGGGTAAGGGCACTTGTGTTTTCTTTCAACCCTGACATACCATCATTGTAGCTGCAGGTGAATCAGAGGCTATAGTGACCTTATATTGTGAGTGGGTTTATTTTTTCTAAGTAGAGACTTCTGCATTCTGTGAACAGTATTAACGGACATTTCAATTCAGTTGTTATGAGAAAATGGCTCATATAGAAAGACTAAATGTTTAGCCTATATTGTTCATAAGAGTTCATAAGAGATTTGTACTTCATGTTTGCCTCCAGAATGGCCTTGATGGGTTTTTCATTATTCTGTTGTGCGTATGTCCTCACCAAACCCTTCAGCTACAGTCTTTTTTTTTCCACTTATGTTGTGTACAAGCATCCTATGTTGTTTTGATGCTGTTTTCAAAATCTCCCAGTGTTTTCAGAGAAGTGAAAACTGCTATGAGAGTATTAATTTACCAAACTTTTCTGGATATTTCTCTGAGGAGGATATCAAAACAGAAAAAGGTCAGACCTAGACCTTAAACTTGTTGTAATTTGTTAAATACACACATTCTCTCTCTCTGGCAGACTATCCACACTTACTCACAGGATTAGTTAAGGATAGGTTAAGAAGCTGAAAAAATTGGAACACAGCCAATGTTATACATGTTGTTAAGTTTGTACTACATACTACCTTAATTTGCCATAACAATATTTATTTCTATTCATAGAGCACATTAAGCTTTTCTTTTCTACTTTTGCATGTTAGTTTGGCTGCACATTTAAGTAAGCTTTTCTTTTCTACTTATGCATGTTAATTTGGTTAGAACATTTAAGTGTGTTTTACGTACAATAGGGTAGTACAGGGTTTATGTCAGTGAGCATCCCTAGGCTGCTCTCAGGTTTGGCAGGATTCACTGATTGAAAGATTAGACTCATTAGAACATGATGGGCATTAATGTGGCCTTGCCTAATGACAGACATTAGGGGCTGTTCTCGCAGATTGCATTTTTTTTCCATTCCAATGCTCTACTTTTCTATGTAAACGCGCTAAAGGGACGTGTTAAAAAATGAAATCCTGATGGGACATTTAACTAACGTAAAGTCATTTGTACTTTTTGAATGGTGGAATTTAAAAAAGCACCAGAGCTCAACAAGTATGAAATATCACCCACGAGCAAATACAACACCATTAGTGCACATTTTAATGAGAACCTGCGACTCCAGTTGACGAAGACATGTTTAACCAAGTAAAATCGAAATGTTTCTAAGTACCCCCTGAGGTACTTGCGCACCTGGTTGGTAAACACTGGATTAGAAGCCCTGTTATAAGTCCTCTACTGTGTGTGTTTTCTGTGTGGTGGGATGTCTGTGTGTTTGTGTGAAATTTTCTAGCCGACTCTTGGCTAATCCTTCTGTTGTGTTGTGAGTGAAGTCAGTGAGGCTATCTCTAACTACACACCCAGATTACATGCCTCTTTTTCCCCATTTTCCCCTCCCTCCCACTCTTTCTCTCTCGCACACAGCCTCGGCTCAGATTGCCTTACTGCCTTTTTTTAGTCACCATCTCTCTCTCTCTCTCTCTCTCTCTCTCTCTCTCTTTCTCTCTCTCTCTCTCTCTCTCTCTCTCTCTCTTCCATCCCCACACCCACAGAAGAATCATAATTTTTGCAGTCTCATTTCACAAGATGCGCACACACACACACACACGCACGCACACACACATTTCCACCCCACACATTAACACTATAAAACGGTACATGAAAGTGAGGGAGATGAAGGGAGAACCGGAAAAAGAGGTTGACGCAAAGTAGTGAACAATTGGAGAGAGGCTGCCCGTCAGCAGGTAGCTAATTACTCTCACAGACACACACTTTGATTGATGTTCACTGAAACAGCCAAGATATCTCTCTCTCTCTCTCTCTCTCCATTCTGAGCCTCTGTTCATGATTTGCCTGTTTATTTATGTCTCTCCTGACAATACCTCACGTATGATGTGACTTTTTTTTCTTTCTTTACTTTGTCCCTCCCTCCATTGCTTTGGCACATTCCCTCACTACTTGGCACAGCTTGGTTGATTTGTTATTCAATTATTCTTAATGACTATATTTATTACATTTATCTGTCTGTACATTCATTTGTATATCCATCCATCCATCCATCCATCCATCCAATTTTGTCATCTGTAATTTTGTCATCTCTAATTTTAGTATTAGTGTTAATTTTGTCAGCTATTTATTAATTTAGACTTAGTCCTCTCTCAAATGTACTTTTTAGTTTATATTTAGTCAACATTGTCCTTTTTTTTTAGTCAAGTTTTAGTCGACTAAATGTCTGGGCATTTTCGTCTAGTTTTAGTGATTATAATTGCAATGATTTCATCAGGTTTGAGCGATCTCTCTTTTCTGACTAGACTGTTACCCTTTCAGCCAGAGCTCATGAGAAGAAAACAGGAGTCATTAGTTATGCAATGCTAAAACTATTTTTTTTTATGACATATATGCGGAAGCATTGTTCCAGTATGAACAAAGAAGATGCAGATAAAACAGTAAAGCAAATAAATACACGATTATAATCATTTATAAAACGGTTAGTTCCAATCCTTGATTCTGATTGGTCAATAGCTGTGCTTTATTCATTATAAAACACGACTATGACTGCTTCACCCAAGGGTTCTATTTATCACTGTGCAACACTGCAGTTCCTATGTTGATGTTATTTGAGCTTATATTACACATTGGAATGTTGTTGCTGTTCACGGTCGGGGACTTTTTTTTTTCTAGCGGAAGGAAGGCTCTTAGTGATTTTACTTCATGAAAGTTGCCTTTTATTGTGTGGTAACCGTTTTATAAAAGCAATGAGGTACTCGAGCCAAGTGCTGTATCGTGAATTGCAGGCATTCTACGAAACAACGCCCTTTAGCCATGACTTATTCACGAGACAGCACAGCCAAGGTACGATAATGTACCTTGTTGCTTACATATAATTTGTCTTTGTTCTTCAAGCAGTTTCTGGTATTTTCCATAAACATATGTGTATTTATGATCGCAATGGTTAGAAGTAGCCTTTAGGATTGTATCTAAATATTTAAAGGTGCTCTAAGCGATGTCGGGTGATGTGACTTCTTGTTGGTGTTAAAGTATTTTTTAAACAAAACATAGGCTAGATAGACCCTCCCTCCTCCTCTTCTGCGCACTGACCCCTCAAACCCCACCTCCAGGGCCTTCTTGTTAGTTATTGGCTGGAACAGTTTGTTATGTTTCGTGGACGGGTTGAAAATCTCATGGGAACTTGGGAATTTGGAACACGACTAATGGCTTTGATTTTATAGTAATTTTAGAGTAAAAAATATTTTGTAAAATGTATATTTTACATAAAAGAAAATATATATAGTACAGTATGTTTGATTTACTGTAAATTTAAACTTCCATAACTTTTTCATACTTTATTATTTATTTATTTTTTTCAAGTATTCTCATTTCAGCAATAATCTGTTGAGTGTTTCCTTAAAAACAAGACAAACTTCGGTCTATAAATATTAAATTTGCCTTCTTTGGAGGAACTGCTTCTCTAAGAATGTTTGATGCAGAAACACCTCCTGCAGGATTAATCCCTCCAGGTGGAAAGGATATTGATAAGCTCATCTCTTTCTATGGTTTATGTGTGTGTATGTGTGTGTCAATTTGCATGTGTCTGGTTAATTTGTCCAAATATAGCTTGTTCAGATCTATCATGTCCCTCTGTTGAAGACGTCCTGTAGGCATCATGATACCTTTGAGGGTCAGACCCTTTTGCCATTAAAGCGTATTTGTTTAAATGGTGTTAATGTCAGTGTGTTTGTAGAGAGTCAGAGATCCTGCTCTCTCAGGTATTCTCACTCCATATGACATTTCAATCGCATGTCTGACATTTCAACTGATTCTACACTGAAGAAAAAAAAAGAAAAAAAAAACTCTGCTGATATTTTTGGATCATTCAGCCTGGTCAGTCTGACTTCTGCCAGAATATTTGCTTTGAGTGCAAGTGTGTACTTGTGCCTCTGAGCATGTGTGCGTGTTCACCCAAAGCCTGCATTTATGCATCTAAATGGAGCCGTTTATTTCATTCGTAATCAGGAACCCTGCTAAAAAAAACCTCCACTTAAAGTGCAACAATAATGTTGTCCGATTATACACCCGTCTCACTCTGAAACAAAATAACTTGTCATGTAGTGTTCTTCACTTAGCCGTCCAATCCCCTCTCTGATCCTCTATTCTAATCAGCTTGCTTTGCTTGAATGAATAATGTATGTATGCTAATAAGAGGGCCAGCTGCTGTATGTGATTAGCAGGTGTTTATTGAGTGATGGACGGAGCACCTCAAGGCTCTGCTTTCCTCAGCAGGCCCAGGCGTGAATAAGTAAAGATGTTATGAACATTCTAAATGAAACCGATTGAAAGTGAATGAGATGTTCAGAATTAGTGGGTTTCGTCATGGATACCACTATTACTAAAGTATTGCTCAAAATAATGTCAGTAGAATTTTTTTTTATTTTTTTTATTTTTTGATGTGGGGTACCAATGCATTCTCACCCCAAGGCGTCACCTTTGACCATGCTTCAATATATGACGTTTTAGGCGCCCTTTAGCGTCACTTACATGACGCGATCCTACGGCGTCATCTAACTGACGCTAAAGGAAAGCGTCAGTTAGAGGACGCGGTTAGGTTTAGGTGTGGGGTGGGGGTAGGGTACTGACGCTAAAGGGCGCCTAAAGCGTCAGATACGAGCGTGCCGCACAAGCCCTCAAAAGTGAAGCCAAAACGTCTCGATCGCCCCCCTGTGACCGGTCCTAGTATAGCTCATAAATCCCGCCTCCCCATGTTATTCAATGGGACGCGAGACCAACTAAACAATTAAATTACACTTCACATATCCTTTTTCCAAAGATAGTTTCTGTCATTTACTGTAGTTTCTATCACGTTGATGTAATTTCAAGTGTTCGTTTTTAAAATAAGTTTGTTTTTAGTTAGTTATGTGATGATAAAATCGGTGCTCTGACATCA